TGCACGTTTTTGTTTTTTTTCTTTCAACCATATTACAACTAATCTTCCATTGGTGCTGCAAAAGCTCACATACAAGGATACTTCAGATTTCACTTTATTTTTTCTCAAAATATTTGAACTAAATGTAATTATGAAAATATATGTCCGTTTGCCAGAATCAGATACAACATATTATTCATTAAGCAAGCACATTTAAGACATATATCTCCTCGAATATTGCTTTTGGGCTAATAGACTTATCGATTGAGTTTATAGTTATGCTATCGTTGACAACTCATTATAGTTTAGTTTGTTGTTTATATCTATTCACTTATCTACTTGTTGATTTATCACTGAAATGTTTCTTTATTTTCTGCTATGTTTGCTTGTAGATCTTTGGTATTCTCTGTTGGATTTTTATGAGGGAAGACTGACAGTGTACGTTGATACAAATATATCTTTACTGCAGGTCTATTGTGTCATTGATAAATATCTCAAATCTCTTTTTTGTTTTACTCGAGAAGAAATCAACGTCCTTATTAGATGTAGTTTCCCCTCGCGGAACTTCACGATCAGATTTATCAATATTATCTTGTGCATAATTGTACTACCCTCGATAGAATAAAAAAAAAAATGTCTTTCATGCAAAACATTCCCGAAATTCGGATCTGAAAGAACACTTTAACTTTATTTACTTTGCAACATTGCTGTTCGGCGCAAGAGGCTTCAGCAGAATTACCGTGTTGCTACTAAGCGTGCGCAGCTGAAAGCAGCAAAATGAGTAGACAAAATTGTTATTTTTATACAAAATAAGATAAACAAAGAAAAACAAAAATGGTGAATGGATAATATTCTTTCTATGAAAATTTCAAATCTTTATCAAATGGGAAATATTTTTTGACCAGAACATTTATAATCACTCAGAAAAAAATGGAATAGATATCGAGCGCAAAACAATTTCATAAGTGGGAGAAGACAGACAATATCATGACCAAAAGGGAAATTTAAACACTACACAAAAAACTAAAACAAACTAAAGGGTTAAATAAAGTTGATTCGCCATAAAGTAGTTACTGCTACACTAGTGGTGCCCGTTGCATTGCAAATTGTAAGTAAAACCGCAATGTTAGTTCGCATTCGGTCATGACACAATTAATCGAGGAAGAATTTTTGACTACGACAAGCGGAACAAAACTTGGGTCATCTGTGACACAGATAGTCAATAATTGTTAACTAAATCAAGTTGGTATCCGTAAACATTTGAGATGACTTCGTGATTTCAATTATACCGAAAAGTACTCGTTATCTATATAAATGTCATGTAAATAGGAAACCAAAATGAACGATTTATTAATTTAAATGCAATCTCAAAAATATCATAATTAATATATATACAAAGAGATATGGATGAAGTGGAATAAGAGAGATGTGAAGCAACGTTAGGTCCCAAAGGAGTACAGACTGTCTGATAAAAAAATTCACTACCATGTCTATCAAAACATCAGACATGACATCCTGAGTATGTCAGTTTCATACGACTATTTGTTTATATGCAGTTTTTGTGCAAGCAGCATACCTCTGCTAATCAATTCCGTATAGTATGAACATGCACGATCTTTACGTATCAATTGAGAATTGTAGACGCCATACGATGGAGCAGAGGGTATGTAACTGATGCAAAATTGGAAGTTTTAATTAAAAAGTTGAAATCATTACGTTTGTCATTGATTCAAGTTTTGTGTCGTCAATCTGCGTCAATATCTTGGAAAAGATCGAGATATTAAGCAGAACTTTTACTTTCAGTAGTATACTTAATGTCAAGTACACTGGGATATATAAGAAGCGAGCACTCACTTAAATGTGGGTTGTTGAGTGACAGTTCATCTTCAATATATCTGAAAGTTAAATTCAATTACTTTCCATATTTTGTTTTTGTTTTGTGTGAATTCAGCTTCATATGATTTCAAAAAAAAGTCGGCCAGTAGGAATGCACAATTAGTACCCATTAGAATAACGACTGTGTATTGAAAAATCCATTCTCCAAAACTTAACAAATATGTTGCCCATTTTTATGATATCATCGGTGTACTAGTATAAGTGTTAAGAATCGACGCGGTTCTGTATGAAGTATGACTTTTCATAACCTAAAACAAGACATTTGTATCTACGATTCTAATTTTTTGTAGAAAAAGGTCTGTTAAATGAGACAATGTATTCGATCTTTCAAAAAGCCATGGGAATAATAGTGTAAGGCGAAGTAAAAACGAAAGTGATGAAATGACTGCAAAGGAGTAGGTCCGGTAAGGGCCGATTTTGGCCTCAAACTCCAGGTTCATCTGATGAAAGATTTTTGACATTTTTTAAACACTTAAGTGTCTACTTCAGTCATTTCAATTAGTTTATGTGAATGATTTGAACTGATTTAGTCATTAAATTAAAGACGCTTAAATATGAAAAATCTATCAAATATGCCATAATATGTCACTCTTCAGATGGTTTTTGTCAAAAATGAAAGTGGCCGCATCTGTGTTCAGTCTCAACCTTTATATATGTTATGTATTATCATCAAATACAACTTACATTTAAATATTAAGAATGAACACAAATGCGGCCACTTCCATCTAAGACGGAAACCGTCCAAAAATTAACTCAAATGCTTAAATTGTGACGATTTCAGTAATTTAGCATGACTTAATGATGCTAGTACCCGATACATATGCATAGTATTGTCAAATAAAGGCAACAGTAGTATACCGCTGTTCAAAAACAGCCCATATTTATGTAACAGAAGTATTCTACTTCCCAATAAACAGCTAAAAGTTTACATTTAATCAATTTTGTAAAATTGCTCTATTTTGGGACCAAAAAAGGGGTCTTACTGGGCCTACTCCTTTGAAAAGAATGTGATGGAATATTTTGCGGTAGATATTTGGAATTTTTATATATATAAGTATCCACATTTGATTGACACCTCTGGTTGAATATAACTTATCACATTTTTTTCTCAAGACCATCTTTAATTGCAGAAAGAATGGTGGTAATAATATGAGAAATATGTTGATTCGACTATCTTGATGACCCGGCTATGTGTCGTTCTTTATAAGAATTTTTGTGAAGTTTATATACCCAGTATAAAAATGGGAGATATTGATCGTCCTTTTCTTGTGTTACATTTTTATTAGCAAAGGAGAGAAGAACGGATTTGTGATTTTTCTAAAATTCCCTCTTTCATAAAGAATTAATGAAATATCTGGGGTTTCCGGTTTTGCTGTGAACTTCGAGTTCTTTAGTTTCACAGATGACTACGAATATATTCCCATAGTCGTAACTACAATCTCGTCCCCTTTCCCCCGAATGTGACCTACCGAATTAGACATATCACCGGGTTTGTACTTAGATGAGCAACACGACGGGTGCGACATGTGGAGCAGGATCTGCTTACCCTTCCGGAGCACCTGAGATAATTCCCAGTTTTGGTGGGGTTCGTGTTGCTCAGTCTTTGGTTTTGTATGTTGTTTTGGATACTGTTGTTTGTCTGTTTGTCTTTTTCTTTTTTAGCCATGGCGTTATCAGTTTCTTTTCGACTTAAAAGTTTGAATGTCCCTTTGGTATCCTTCGCCTCTCTTTTAGACATTCCAATTTTTTACAGAATTTTTGCATATAAAAACAATAGATATGAGTTTTTGTCTGCTGTAACAACAACCATTTGTCTCGAGGTGAGGATAACGCATCCACTACCTTGGACTTCTCGAAAATAGAGTGCTCGTTGTACATCGTAAACTTTTAATGTGCTTCTGAATGTATGATAGAATGGCTTTGATCTATTTAGTTGAAGGGTCAAGTTTTGGTTCTTCTAGCTCGCACTTTACCGATTTTCAGGCATAGTCCTCAACTGCACCCATCAGTAACCTGAAATTATTCTTCCAGTTGATAGGCTGGGGAAATCGATATTTCGGGTCTTAAGTTAACAATTTTCTAAGTTTTTAATTATCTACGATGTAGAGGTGTCCAGTAATATCACAACCAGCTGGACTGTTTGTGTATTGAGACGATGGACAAAAGTGTTACATTCATTCAGCTATCACCAAGGCAAAATTGACCTTAGATGGATTTGGCTATTCGTTTTATATCCTTTTTGGTTCTATAGGTCCTTGCGTATTTTGAAACTTATATACCCTTGGTTTTTGATATTTTGGTTTTTAGTGTTCCCAATGAAGTTGGTTTTTGATATTTTGGTTTTTAGTGTTCCCAATGAGGTTGGTTTTTGATATTTTGGTTTTTAGTGTTCCCAATGAAGTTGGTTTTTGATATGTTCTTTTTTAGTGTTCTCAATGAAGTTGATTTTTGATATTTTGGTTTTTAGTGTTCCCAGAGAAGTTGGTTTTTGATATTTTGGTTTTTTGTGTTCCCAATAAAGTTAAGTCTAGAAAAGACGGACCAAATTTATAAAGTGGTATTTCCACTCAATGTACGGTGAGAGGAATGTAAAAATCTGTTCGATCCCATAAAGCGTGTGAATATGTTGTCTTTGTTCTGGACTATGGAGTAATATTTCCGTGTATTTACTAATATAAATAAAAACTTAATACAAATTAGTTCATTTTGAATGTTTTGAAATCACTTGAAGATAACTAGTGTTTTATGTAGATGCTACTATTAGACTAGGTTTATAGAAAAATAGGTACGGTACCCTATTTTTTTTTATTAACGGGAGCAAGAATAATGCTGAGAGAATGGGCAACCTTTTGATGCAGTGATGTATACAATCGCGAATTATCTAATTGGGCACATATGATCCAAGGCATTTGTTAGGAGTTCCATTCTCTCTGAACAGTAAATTACCCTTACCAATATAACTTGTATATGCACAGCAACAGTTTTTCGGTGAGGTTTAATGTGACCTGATGCACGGGTAAACATCTGACACTTTAAATCAACTATATCACTATTATCCTCCTTTTATTTATTATTTTATTTTATCAGTCTATGTATTTAGCATTGAAAGTTCACGATAGTTTTCTAACGAAAGGCAGTCATACACTGTAAAAGGTGCATCTAATTACATTTAATAACGTATTACGAATGAATAATATATCTGACCTAGACTGACCTACACGTATGTCCATATAAAAAGTTACTTGTGTTTTACTGCTTCCAGTGCAAATATGAATATTCTTGATTATTTGTGCCATAAAGTTATTATTTAATTTCCGTCAGTCATATAATTAAATAAAGATGATCTATAGATTTGTTTTGATTTTCCTATGAGAAAACATCGGATAGATGACAATCCTGATCAACAAATTATTATTCCTCAATATTTAATGTTTTAATATCCGTTTACAACGGTTAATCTGACATTAAAACCAGAGAAGAAACACTTTTACCAAACTCTGTGATATCACCACGAATATCTCGTTCCATTAGTGTCCCGGATGAACAATTTACACTTCAGAAACTCCTTACAACATTTGAAACGAGAAAGGAAATTGTCTGACGGATGAAATAAGAGATCCACAAGGTGACTTTATAAAACATTTGTCACACTTGACGCCGGCGTTTTTATCTATTAAACTCAGATTAAGATTTATTGTACAGACATCCGGAACATGTTCACTATTCGTAAACTTTCGGTCAATTGAATGTTAGGGTGTGCTTCAGCTGTCTAAAAAGAATGAAATTAAAGATAAATAAAATAGAATTGGTACATGAGTTATCAATTCTTAAGTGTTCTATGAATAATTTAGAATCTAATCTAATCTAGGTTTGATCCACCATTTTCCACATAATAAAATGCCTGTACCAAGTCAGGAATATGACAGTTGTTTTCCATTAGTTTGGTGTGTTTGAGCTTTTGATTTTGCAATTTGGTAAGGGACTTTCCGTTTTGAATTTTCCTTGGAGTTCGGTATTTTTGTTATTTTACTTATTTTATAATGCATCGAAGCAAATAAGCACTTTTACCGTTAGAGAAAGTTCGCTGACCAAAACTGTTTTTTCAAGAGTTTTTAATCTATTTTTTGGGGACATTCCACATGAAATTCCATTACTGACCAAACTTACATCTATTTTTGGAGATCCAAATGTTCCTAGACACCAGTCTCTCTTCATTGACTAATTTCTTCTGGTACCTACAGAAAAAATCCGAAAACAGTATCGTTTTGGTTGTAAATCAGACTACATAAGATTCTTGATGAGAAATTAGGGAATGAGGAAATATGAAAATTTACTTTCAAACTCAACTCATACTCGAAATACACTCTGAAGAGGAGCGGATCAAATCAGATGTGGATATTTAAATAATCAATCCCCAAAAAGATATGTAAGAGTTAGTACAATCATTTACTTCATGCAAAATATATTCAAAAAGTAAATGAAAAATGACTTCTCCACCTTTTAATTAAACACTCATTCCTCACCAAAATTTGATTGAACAAATTTAAAGATTGAGTCAAACTTTGTTCTTTCAAAAAGAGCAGTCAAAGAAGATAAACGCATCTTGTTTCCTTCTGGTCGACCTGTTTTTGTACTCGTATAAGGCAGAATTCATTCAAAACCTTCTAAAAGACAAAAAGAAAAAGCACCTTGCAAAGTTCTTTAATTTTACTTTCAGATATATTGATGTCCTATCACTGAATAACCCATATTTCAGTCAGTACTTGCATCTCATATATCCCAGTGAACTTGAAATTAAGGATACTACTGATACAAGGACTGCTTCATACCTTAACCTTTTCCTCAATATTGACCCAGATGGACGACTTCACACTAAAATCTATGACAAACGGGATGATTTCAACTTCCCAATTATCATTTTCCCATTTCTCTGCAATAACATACCCTCTGCTCCGTCGTATGGTGTGTACATATCTCAATTGATACGTAATGGTCGTGCATGTTCACACTATACTGACTTCATATACAGGAGTTGGCCCCTAACGCAGAAACTGCTCCAACAGTGTTATGAGGAGGAAAGATTAAAAATGACACTCCGTAAATTTTATGAACACCATCACGAATTGGTTGATCTATGCGATGTATCTGTGTCTAAACTAACTAATGACATTTTTACCACGTCTTAGATTGTGATTTAACATCTTTGTCGTCTGTCTGCTAAGTACCGAACGTGACCTATTCCCGAATATGACTGTTATACCGAGAGTGAATTTACATTGCTATACGACATGTCTCGGTATTTTGTACATCCAACATTCATGTATTTATTTTTGATGTTTTTGTTATGGTTTCTGTTGAATAATGTGTCATGTTGTATCGTTTGTTGTCCAAATAATTATAAAATTGCCTTTTAATACCATCATTGTCATATTCCCGAATATGACTGTTATACTGAATGTGAATTTGCATTGCTGTGCGGCGTGTCTCGGTGTTTTGTAGATCCAACATTAATGGATTTATTTTTATGTTTCTGTTATGGTTTCGGTTGGATAATCTGTTATGTCTTATCGTTTGTAGTCCAAATAATTATAAAATTGCCTTTCCATACCATCATTGGCATGTAAATTGTTCGGACGAATATTGTGAAAATAATTGTATAATGTTCGAGATTTCATGTTAGTTACGTAAGTGCGTCACTGTTTTTGAATCCTATGGTCTTTTTCATTGATGGAATATGTTCGTTGTTGTTCTGTGGTTTGCATGTTGTGTCGACTATTATATTATTTGTTTGTGCGTTCTCTGTTATGAATGTTCTTGCGTGTTTTGTGCTGTATTTCTGTCACGTAGTGTTTTAGCGATATTTTTTTAACATTGTCATAAAGCGGGAGGTTTGGCATACCATGAGACCAGGTTCAACCCACCATTTTTTCTTAAAATGTCCTCTACCTAGTCAGGAATATGGCAGTTGTTATCTATGTGTGTTGGCATTTGTTTTTGTTGCACTTCGGTGTTCCTGTTGTTCATTTGTTTTCCTCTTATAGTTGATGTGTTTCCCTCGGCTTTGGTTTGTAACCTTTTTTGTAGACAAAACGCGCGTCTGACGTACAGAATTTTAATCTTGGTATCTATTATAATTTAAATGATCTGCTTGACGATCGCAGTTTGAAGTAATCAATGGTGTTATGTCAAAAAATATCGTTATTATTATTATTTTATCTCAGAAATTATTTGGAAAAAACTAAGGCTGAATAATCTTACTTCCATCTGACGACCAAACTGACCAACCATCTCGATTGCTTTACCATTTATAAAATAAAGGGTATAATAATCAAAAACGACATTAAAATTCTTATAATCTTTAAGTAATTTCATAGCGTCAAAGAACAATCAGTTCATTGAAAAAAGTTTGTTTAATGAAATCAATGGATAGCATTGCATAATTACTATGAAAGTACTAGGTAAAAAAAAAAACAACCTATGAACAGAATTACCATCAGTAGAAAAATATACATTTGAATAGGATAAAAAAAAAACAACACGGAGAAAGATTAAATATCATCTGAGGAGATAATGGAACAACATACAGAAGAATAAAGCATCATCTGAGATGATAAAGGAACAACAGAGAGAAAGATAAAGTATCATCTGAGGAGATAAAGGAACACAAGAGAGAAAAAATAAATATCAACTGAGGATTTAAAGGAACAACATAAAGAACGATAAAGCATCAGCTTAGGAGATAAAGGAACAATAAAGAGAAGGATTAAATATCATCTGAGGAGATCAAGGAACACCAAAGAGAAAGATAAAGCATCAGCTGAGGAGATTAAGGAACAACATAGGAAAAGATAAAACATCACCTTAGGTGATAAAGGAACTATGGAGATAGATTGAATATCATCTGAGGAGATAAAGGAACACCAGAGAGAAAGATGAAGCATCAGCTGAGGAGATATAGAAACAACTTAGAGAAAGATAAAAAAAAACATCATCTTAGGTGATAAAGGAACACAAGAGAGAAAGATCAAATATCTTCTGAGGAGCTGAGGAGATAAATGAACAACATAGAGAAAGATTAGATATTAACTAACTGAGGAAATAGAAAACAACATAGAGAAAGATAAAGCATCATCTGAGGAGATTAAGGAATAACATACAGAAAGATAAAGCATCAGCTGAGGAAACTAAGGAACAACATAGAGAAAGATATAACATCATCTGAGGAGATAGAGGAACAATAGAGAGAAAGATTAAATATCAAATGAGGAGATAAAGGAACAATATACAGAAAGATTAAATATCATCTGAGGAGATAAATGAATAACATAGAGAAAGATGAAACATTGTTTGAGGAGATACAGGAACTATAGAGAGGAAGATTAATTATCAACTGGGGATTTAAAGGAACAACATAGAAAACGATAACGCATCAGCTGAGGAGATAAAGGAACAATAGAGAGAAAGATTAAAAATCATCTGAGGAGATCAAGGAACACCAGAGAGAAAGATAAGCATCAGCTGAGGAGATTAAGGAACAACATAGGAAAAGATAAAACATCATCTTATGTGATAAAGGAACAATAGAGAGATATATTGAATATCATCTGAGGAGATAAAGGAACACCAGAGAGAAAGATTAAATATCATCTGAGGAAATAAAAGAACACCAGAAAGAAAGATTAAATAACATCTGAGGAAATAAAGGAACACAAGAGAGTAAGATGAAGCATCAGCTGAGGAGATCAAGAAACAACTTAGAGAAAGATAAAACATAATCTTAGGTGATAAAGGAACACAAGAGAGAAAGATCAAATATCTTCTGAGGAGCTGAGGAGATAAATGAACAACATAGAGAAAGATTAGATATTAACTGAGGATATAGAGGAACAACATAGAGAAAGATTAAGCATTATCTGAGGAGATTAAGGAATAACATACAGAAAGGTAAAGTTTCAGCTGAGGAAAATAAGGAACAACATAGAGAAAGAGATAACATCATCTGAGGAGATAAAAGAACACCAGAGAGAAAGATTAAATATCATATGAGGAGATAATGGAACATCATAGAGAAAGATAAAGCATCATTTGAGGAGATAAGAGATAAAGGAACAATAGAGAGAAAGATTAAATATCAACTGAGGAGATACAGGAACAACATACAGAAATATAAAACATGATATGAGGAGATAAGGAAAAACAAACAGAACGATAATACATCCCATGAGGAGGCAAATGAACAACATACCGAAAAATTGAACATCACCTTAGGAGATACAGAACATTATGGAGAACGATAAACATCATCTGAGGAGGTAGAGGAACAACCACTGTAGTAGAAACGTTTATAAGGAAACTTTTTCAATTGATACTAGTGTAAAACTATGATCATTGTAGTTAAAGAAATCGTTGGGAAAGACACAACATTTTTGTTAATTAGAGTCCTCTATCACTGGTGTTCATTTTATTTCGTATGCATTTATCTTCGTTCATTTTACATATGTGTATTTAGAATATATATGATAATAGATTCAAATGCTCAGGTAGCATTCGATGCAAGATGCGGCCATACGAGTTTTCCCCCTGTGATATTTCATTATGCGAAATAGAAAAAAGCAAAGGTTATTTTGATTTCGCTTTAATCATTTACGTGTTTCTGTACTTTCGCGATTTCGCGTTTAAAGTCTTTTTAACAATTACAACATGACGATCTAAAATATATAAAAGCCATTTGTAGCAAGTAAAACGTTACAATAGGAATAAAATAATAAAATGAAACTATAACCTGATATTAATTGTTTTTTTCCCAGATATTGTATCATATATGTTTGATGTAGAAAATTTAATTCTAATATAATGAAAGAAAAACATTCTTCAATAATAAATGTTTTTGATTAAAACAAATCAAAATATTGATGCGAGTGTAAAGATATTTAAAAAGGATAACAATAATAAAAATTAGAATATAAATGTTTAATTCCATGTTACACAATGTTAATATTACTTATTAACAAAATATTTTGATCGACGTTATCAGTTAGTTAGGTTTATTGAATATCAAAATGATTTGAAGACATGGTAGGTGTAGTGCCAATTTAGAGTGAATTTTCTACATCACATGTTTTCATTTTTTCTTGTTTACAGAAAGTAATACACGAAAATGCATAACAGCAATCACAAACAATACTGAACATACCACACCAACAATCAAATCCTTTTCCTTAAAAAAAATAAATAG